TCTAAAATATTTAGAAACAAAAATCAATCTTTAAAACATCCATACTGGATGAACTATTTTTACCGCAACAGGCGTAATTGTTGCAAACAATGACCGTTATTTAATTTGGCTAGAGCATTTTTTTGTTTGACTTAGTCTTATTTTAACGATCACTACGATGATGAATTAACAACAACCACAGTTTATCCGAGCAAATAAATTATTGCCTAAATAAGGTACTGTTACAGTTTGGCGAACACCTGCTTTTCACCGTGTATTCTAGAAAGTTCAAAATTTTTAAAACAATAGCAAATTCTTGAAAACGAAACAAAACAACGTTTGTAACACATTTTCGTAGTTTCTGCGTTGGCATAACGCTACGGCGCGCTGGCCACAAAACGATTTCTTTCGCCAATATAAGTACACTGTATATTAACTGTAATATTTAAGTGTTCGTTTTTTTGCTAATAAAACTCAGAGTTTATTTCAGCTTCTAAGATAATGTCTTTAATTAAGGTAGGTCCCTCAACATACATTCGAAAAAATATATTCGAAAAATATTTATATCGACAACCGAATGCAGAATTTTCCGCCTGGAAACATCTTTTGAAAAAGGATGCAGCAGCGTTTTTCACGAACTTTCACCGAATATTCAAAGGATTAAATAGTGCTCAGCTTATTGAAGGTTTTTTTTTATTTGACGCTGATGCTTATCAATCTCTTGCACGAATTTTGTTTTTTCCGTATTGCCGTTATCATATTTTCCACTATTTTATTGTTAAGTAGTAAAGTAAGTGTAATAAAAATTGTGAACGTGACCTTCTTAAAAATTGTTGCCGTACTCCTCTTTCGGCTTACGAACAACTCGGCATGACCTAAAGTTTTGCCGAAAACTTTATGTTTCTACTGCCGCATTAGTCAGGATACTAATTATTCTGCCGGAATGTCCGTATGCCAGATTGTCTAGCAGACATAATGTTCTCAAAAATTACCGAGAAACAGGAACTGATTGCTTATTTATAAGATTGTTTTGTCATCAGTACTACAATTTAAACAATTAAAGGTTTTTGGGCGAAATTTCTGTTAGTATTTTTTTGTGTATTTTCGAATTGTCTTAAATCGCTTTTATAAAACAACCGTATAATGCTACGTTTTTGTAAGTGCTGTTTGATGCGAACTGGCAAATCCAAAGATACTCGTATAATCTGAACATGTCGGATTCGCAATGTGTTTATTGTTTCCGCACATCGTTATTACTGTTGCAGCACTTTCCGAAAATATGTTGGTATTTCGTACTGTAGATGTTGCCATGGTTATTTTTTCGCAATAATAACTCTTTCCGCCTATTCGACGTTAGTAGTTTCTGATTCAGCCAATAAGCGATATTCGTTCCGCAAAAGTTTCGTAAATTTGAAACTGAAAACAGCGGTAAACAAAAGGCGTCTTGCCACCCCACAGGAATTTAGACGTTTTTTAAGCTATCGTCGAAAAATCTACGTCGAACAGTGTAGGAGGAGATGTTGGGGAAAAAAACGCCGGAGTAGGAATTGTCTTTACAAGGCAATCCTCGGCCTCCGGCCTCGGCTTGCAAAACGTAGAACTTGTAGAAACTGTAGAAAACTTAAAATTAAATAATTTGTAAAAACTGTAAAAATACAGAAAGTAAAATTCATCTATCAAAGAAATATCTTAAATATTTAAAAACATTAACTCAGTGTTCAAAACACCCATGCCAAATGAACCATGTATACCGCAACCGTCCTAATTATATTTTTTTGAATGATAGCCGCTATTTAGTTTGGCTAGAACATTTTTTTGTTTGGCTTTGTCTTATTTTCACGATCATTAAAATGTTAGATTAACAACAACCACAGTATATCCGCGGAAATAGATATTGACAGCATAGAAAAGTACTGTCACAGTTTCGCGAACACTTGTTTCCTTCCTAGTTCCTACCGTGTATTTTAAAAAAAATAACATTTGTAAAACGTTAGCAGGTTCCAAAAAACGAAACGAAAACAAAACGAAAGTTCGAAACATATTTTCTTAGTTTCGGCGTTGGCGTAAAGCTACCGCGTGTTGGCCACAAAACAATTTTTTTCTGCAATATAAATACCATAACTGAAATATTTATATTGCCTAAACTTATGAAATTTAGTTTATTTAAATCTTGTTGTTATTATTATTATTGCTTAATAATTATTATTACTTGCTTTCATTTATTTATTTCTGTTTGTGTTCGTTTTTTGCAAATAAAACTCAAAGTTCATTTCTGCTTCCAAGATGATGTCTTTAATTAAGGTATTTTTCAATAAAATTGTTTCGAAAAATATTTTTATCGATATTAGAATGCAGAAATCTCCGCCTGGAAACATATTCTGATAAACGATGCCGCAGCGTTTTTCACGAACTTGCACCGTATATTCAAAGGGTTGACCGGTAAATAGCTCAGCTAATCGAAGTTTTTTAACAGATCCAACGCTGGTATTTATCAGTTTTTTGCAGTAATTTTGTTGTTTCCGTATTGCCATTATCATATTTTCCGTTTGTTTTGTTTAGCTAACTGTAGATGCCAGAGAATAATGCTGTATAATTTTTTTTACGGTTTTCTAAAGTTTTAGTGTAAAGTAGTAAAGTAAGTATACTAACAATTTTAGACGTGACCCTTTTTAAAAATTGTTGCCGTACTCCTATTTCGGCAAACGAACAATTCGGCATGGCCTAAAGTTTTGCCGAAGACTTCATGTTTCTAGTGCCGCATTAGTTGGGATACCAATTATTCTGCCGAAATATCCGTATGCCAGATTGTCTAGCAGACGTAGTGTTCTCAAAAATGATCAAGAAACAGGAGTTGCTTTCTTATTCATAAAATTTTTTGTCATCGAAAGCTACAATTTAAACTACTAAACGTTTTTGGGCGAAACTTCCGTAAGGACATTTTGTGTATTTTCGAATTGTCTGTAATCGTTCTTATAAAACAAATCCTTCCGTGTTGCATTTTTGTAAATTTGTCTTTTTTGTATCATCGGTAGCTATAATTTAAACTATTAAAGGTTTCTGGGCGAAGTTTCCGGAAGAATTTTTTTTGTATTTTCGAATTTTCTTAGATTGTTTTCATAAAAACAACCGTTTAATGTTGCGTTTTCGTAAATGCTGTTTGATGCGAATTGGCAAATGCAAAGATACTCGTATAATCTGAACAGGTCGGATTCGCACTGTGTTTATTGTTTCCGCCCACCATTATTGCTGTAACAGCATACCTAATAGCACTTTCCAATAATGTGTCGGTCCGTACTGTAGGTGTTGCCATAGTAGTTATTCTTTCCGCAATTCTAACTAATTCCGCCTATTCGACGTTAGTATTTTCTGATTCAGCCAATAAGCGAAATTCGTTCCGAAAAAGTTTCGTAAATTTGGAAGCGAAAACAACGATAAACGAAAACCGCCTAACGAAAACCGATAAACGTAAATCCCTAACCTTTTGCTTAAGCGGGTAATTCTTTTCACGATCTAACCGGCACAAGTCCCTATTCCTTTGTCTGGCCGGCGAAAAATTTTCTCCTTTTGTCTGATCGGCAAAAATTTCTTCCACTTTGTTTAACCGGCGAAAATCCCTAACCTTTTGTTTAACCGGCAAAATTCTTCCCTCTTTGTCTGATTGGCAATTCTGAAAAAAAGATTCAGCAGCACATTTCACGAATTTTCACCGAATATTCAAAGGATTAAATAGTGCGCTGCTCTCTAAGTTTTTTGACAGATTTAACGCTGGTGTTTACAATCTCTTGCAATAATTTTGCTGTTTTTGTATTTCATATTTTCCGCAATTTTATTGTAAAGTAGTACAGTAAGTGTACTAAAGATTGTAGACGTGACCTTTTTAAAAACTGTTGCCGTACTCCTATTTTGGCATACGAAAAACTGGGCATGGCATAACGTTTTTCCGAATACTTCATGTTTCTAGTGCCGCATTATTTAGGATACGAATTACTCTTTGTCTGATCGGCATTTTTTCATCATCAGTAGCTATAATTTAAACTATTAAAGATTTCTGGGCGAAGTTTCCGTAAGAATTTTTGTGTATTTTCGAACTGTCTTAGATTGTTTTTTTTTTAAAAACAACCGTTTGATGCTGCGTTTTTGTAAATGCCGTTGATGCGAACTGGCAAATGCAAAGATACTCGTATACTTAATCTGAACATGTCGGATTCGCAATGTGTTTGTTGTTTCCGCCCATCGTTATTACTTTAACAGCGCTTTCCGTGTTGGATTCCGTACTGTAGGTGTTGCCATAGTTATTTTTTCCGATATAGTAGCTGATTCCGCCTATTCGACGTTAGTAAGTACTTTCCGATTCTGCCAATAAGCAAAATTCGTTCCGAAAAAGTTTCGTAAATTTGGAAGTGAAAATAACGATAAACGAAAACCGTCTTGCCACCCTACGGGAATTTAGACGTTTTTTAATCTATTGTCGAAAAATCTACGTCGAACGGTGTAGGAGGAGATGTTGGGTAAAAGAAACGGCGGAGTGAGGATTGTAATAATAATAATAATAATAATAATAATAATAATAATAATAATAATAATAATAATAATAATAATAATAATAATAATAATAATAATAATAATCATAATCATAATCATAATCATAATCATAATCATAATCATAATCATAATCATAATCATAATCATAATCATAATCATAATCATAATCATAATCATAATCATAATCATAATCATAATCAATAATAATAATAATAATAATAATAATAATAACAATAATAATAATAATAATAATAATAATAATAATAATAATAATAATAATAATAATAATAATAATAATAATAATAATAATAATAATAATAATAATAATAATAATAATACCATAACCACAGTCACTACAGAACTAAGTACAATTAACAATTTCCCGTTTATGTACAGAGCGCGTTTGAACCTGAAGCAAATCAAATCCAGTTCGGTTATAACTGCAACGAAGGCAAGTGTTATCCTTACATTTTGCATGCTTTTATAAACCTACCTATTTGGCATCGTACCAGTCTACTACAAGTAATCATTCGAATGGAACAGAAAGAAGTTTAGCTGCTGCACAAAAAAAATCTATACGAACAGGATAATTTGAAAAACAAAAGCAGAGATGGCAGCACAACACAACCCGAGAGGACCCCAGCCAGGAACATAGACATCATTCACGAGAAAATCAACATCTAAGCATTTGATAAAATTTAAAACCCCAGTCAGGCTGCAAGAATTGTTAAAACTTAAAACCCCCGCAGAACTGCAAGAAAGTTATGGAACGGATTCAGTCGAAAGGGCAGTATATCACACAAGCCGGACACACAATTACTGCGTGTTTTATGCATTATTGCTGTGTTGTAGTCAGACCGTCAGTAATTAGCGAATCACGGTGAGATAAGCTTCTTGCATCACCCATTCCTGAAAAAGGTCATCGATCTTGAACCAGCACTGGTAACTACCGGCATGATTTATTTTGACTTTATAGATCGTCAGTGTAGAATTACAATGGCAAATGCCATCAGATGTTGTCCATACAGATACATCCGAGTCATCCTTCATCGATAAACCCAGTCTGTATTCAGGGATTCCTGGAGCATATATTACATGATCTTCGCTCCTCCAGATAAAACGATTTTCCAAGCTACCTGCCGCTGCTCGGAACTGGACGACACAGGCAAATTCCGCAGCTTCACCAACTCGCGCTGTTACGTGGACCATTGGCGGTTTAAAAACCTGCGAGGGAATTAGCTGCGGACTGACTAAGAATGTCTGGGTGACCACAAACTGGCTGCCATTGTACTGGACACATTCATACTTCCCGGCATGCAGATGGGTCAGCTCGATTAAGTCAACTGTCATAGATCCCGTTAACGGATTCGTTAGCAGTTCCATTTTGCCTGAGATGATGGAACCATTGAGATTGCCATGACAGCTGCATCGCCTGACACTTTGTCCGAATGGTCGAATTGCACCAGTGAAACTGAAGTTGAGCGGTTTGCTGTCTAGCCATACCTGCGATGGAAAATCTTCCGAATTCCAGGAAGTCGACATGCCGCTACCATTGCAGTGCAGCTGCACTGTTTCACCTTCTGCAGCTCTTATGATGTTTTCAGTAGACAGCGGTTTCGGTACAATTTCTACAGCTGCTGAAGTGCCTTGTAAATGTAGCGGGATTACGCCGTTTTGACCACTTCGGATGCCTTCATCCAACAGTTGTATAACTGAAACAGCAAGAAAAAAGATCAGCTTCAAAACATTATTAAGGATGCAGAGAAACCTGTTGGTAACCTTTATTTTAGAACAAGGAAATGATTCTAGTATGCTAATATAGTAAATTAACGCAGCATTGCCAGGTACCAAAACATGACAGTACGAAGTATGCGAGGGCCGACAGGCAAAAATCTCTGCAGCATGGGCCGCACATGCGAGTTCATGTTTGGTGAGCTCTCCGTTTACAACCTTTCACACCCTTCAACTCCGTTCAAAATCTTTCACACAACATTTCGCTCCGTGCACTACCTTCGGACTAAGGAACGACCGTCCACGGAAAATGGAATTCCACGGATAGAATCCAATTTCCAAATCCGCGCCCCATGCGAGTGGCTCGGATTTGGAAAATGGAAAAGAGGAAATCCGTGGAATTCCAATTTTGCTTGGAATTCAGATTCCTGTATTTGGAATTCCAAACGCACAGAAATGTCGAATAAAAATTACAAACTGAACATTTTTCAACGAGTAGCTACAAATTTATTATTTAAAAAATGGCCGTCTCTATTCTGACACTGCCCGGTAAAGAAAAAAACGCGCCGGAGTTATCAGATAACGTCAGACTGCAACATGAGTACGCATGCATGACTCGTACAGTATCAAAGACAAGTTACCGGTGTCAGTTTAACCGCACTACATCAATGATGTAAGAGTACTAGTATTGGTAGATGGTAGTATAGTATTGTTTTGCTGTTTTAAACTAAGGAGAAAACAGACATGCATATCGAAATTTATTAACTTCAGGCGTGGTTTTAGCGTAGCAGCCGAAACTACCCTTTTCATTTATTTTTTTTGTGAAATAAGTTCAGTTTCTATGTTCAGTAGCTAACTATCTGCAGTTTCCGAATCTGCACTATAAGGTATCTCTAATATACTGTAGACCGGCGGCATCTGTACTAGCTATCAGACCTGGGCAGTTATAGAAATTTGACCCAAAGTTAGAGTTAGAGTTACAGGAACGTGCGAGTTACGTTAAGAGTTAAGTTATTTATGCAGGAAAACCGAGTTTCGAGTTAAACCGCGAGTTACGGTACCATAGACAATACATAGTATTTGTATGAGAGTTAAGTTAGTTAAGTTTTCTTCTGAGCAAGTTACGCTAAAGAGTTAGTTATAACTCAATAACTCGAAAATAACTCGCGTTAAGTTAAATAGTTAAAATTAACTGCCCAGGTCTGCTAGCTATGCTCTAATAACATAGTACCACTGCCTCTGTTTATGAAAAGCAGATAGTTCTGTCACTTCTGTGTACCTTTACTTTGTTTAGAGCTTTGAATGCATTTACAAGCGATGAATGCGCGGTAATTAATCAGCGGGCGATATCTGAAATGGTGTTTTGTTAAAACTTATGTAAATTGATGGCTAATTAATGGTATTCCAACGAAAAAAACGAAATCCTTGGATTTACGGAAATCCATTTGGATTTCCGTAAATCCACGGATTCCATGGAATTCCATGGCAATTTCCTTTCCAAAATCCTTTCCACGGGCTCGCGCCCGTGGATTTGTCCTCCTTACTTCGGACACTACCTTCCACTCTGGTCACAACATTTCCTGCAGTTACGGATCGCGTATGCTTTTATACCGTATAAAATTGGCTTCGTATCAGTAAATGATACAAAGCCACTTTGACTTTGATCGGCTGTATCACAGCTACTGATTTTAGACTGAAATTGAGACGCACCCTCGCAAAACTGTGCAGAAGTACTTTTTTGAGTCACAGAAACGAAACTGGAAACGATTAGCGGTAGCATTATTCCAACTAGTCGCTAAATTCTTGGTGTGAAATAAGTGAAAAACATGTGGCATCTACAAGCATGGCATGTGGCATTGTTTTTGTTATCGAGAAATCGGAGTTACTGAATCGGAAAATTTGAGCAAAAAAGGAGCGGTATCGCATCGGAGCAGCTCTGTTACATTCTTCTTCTAGACCAGCCTGACCATTTTGCAACCAAGTTATTGCAATAATAATGTAACAAACAAAATTTCGTGAAAACAATATTAATCCGTCGGCGCCCTATGCGAACTAAAAGTCAGAGTGAGAAAACACTTTTCTTTTATCGCAGCTGTCGTATAGGCAGGCCAGTGCTCGAGTTTGGAGTTAGGTTCGGTATCTCAGATGCACGTGGGCGGCATCTTTGAAGTGCGCGCAAAGAATTTATCGAGCGTTTTTCCCACACTTACTTTTCATGAAAACTAGAACAAATTAACTAGCCGGGAGCTAAAAAATTTATTGAAGTAGTGCAGATTTTATTCTGTAGAGTGATATAAGTCTAAATTTTTGTTGAATATCCTGCAACATCGTCTTTTACTGGTCAGATCATCTTCCCAGTAAAGACACTGATTTTGACTGATAAAAACCCATTGGAAGCTGAGCGGTGTTCTTGTAGATTTTCCATAGGAAATCCATTGTTTTCCTAGTCTGCCTCGTGGAATGGCTATCAGAATCGGAATTTTTAAACTTTTTTGGGCAATTTCACAGGTGCTGGTTATAGCGCGCACATTTAATATTATTTAGAGTTCAATCGGTATAGTTCAATATTCTAAGCACTGAAAGCAGTAACGTACGCTATGGAATTGTTCACGAGCCCTTCTTGTTTTTTTTTTCTCGCAAGATGAGTGCAAACGAGTGAAATTTCAGCTTAAAATGCTGGCCCATTGTTTAATCTTCAGGAGTAGAGGATTCGCTGTCCCTTAAGTTCTTAATATTGTGTTAATACAGTACTTGTACAATGGGTATTTAACTATTAAGTATGCGACGTGCGTTTCTTGCAAATGATGAGGTTAGCAACCACCGCCCGTTAAATCGCAATATTTAATTACGTTGGCTTACAACGAGCGGAAGTTGTCTCGATTTCTACGTAGTCCTGGCGCTCGTCAGTCGTCACCAAGCAACAACCTCCTATTGTTTCGTCCACCATTCATTTTGTCCACCATTCATTTTGTCCACCGTTCATTTTGTCCACCATTCATTTTGTCCACCATTCATTTTGTCCACCGTACGTTTTGTATACACTGTAACCGTACTGCAGTGCAAATCGAATTCCTTGACGTGATACGTCGCGTCAACGAGTTCGATTTATGCGGCCCACAGCGCACACTGAACTGCAACTGCAAACTTACAGTCTAGTGTCTTAAGTCAAACTGGCTTCTTACAACCAGTAAGGATTAAGGAAACATAAGAAAACAAAAAACCTAAGAAAAAACAGATAGACGTGCGAAGATATAAGAAAACGTAGGGAAACATAAGAAAAGGAGAACATTAGACTCAAGAAACCTAAGAAACCACAAGCTGAAGAACATAAGAAACATAAGAAAACCATAAGAAAACATCATCAAGCTTAAAAATTCTTAGAAGAACAGATCAATACAGCCTAATCGTTCAATACAGTTTTGTGTGGTACAAGCAGTCAATTAAACTGTAAGACACGTTGTAAGCGGATGGTGGACGAAATGAATGGTGGACAAAATGAACGGAGGACAAAATGAACGGTGGACAAAATGAATAGACACGGCAACAACCATGTCAACGGTGGCATCACGACTTCTGGATCATGAGGCCTCTTGATAACTGTTGTTGCGCAGCTGTGGTTGCACTTGATATTTTGTGTTAAGTTGTCAGAACTCCTGTACAGTCTGGTTTTGCTGTAATTTTTTTTTCGGCTTCGTGAGGACGCTTCTATGACGGGAGTTAGGCATTGACTTAAGTTGCAAGAGATTATCCCGCGAACATTTTGAAAATTTTTACGGTGCAGCTTGGGTACTAAATGATAAAACTGCCGATGCTCTTATTTAAGTTGCTGTAATCGGTGACCGATAAATGCTTGCGCCAATAAGCTCATGGTTAGTTTCATAAAACATTACAAAATCTTCTATAGATGACAATATTCTGCCGAATTTATTACTTCAGTCTTTTGCCGAATTTATTATGGTAATATCATCTCATTGCATCACAAAGCGAAAATTCGATTCGCAGCAAACGCTGGAACGTGGAACCGGCCGTGGAGATCCAAACAGCTTGCGAAGTAAGGACACTTGGTCCGCTTATGATATCATAGTCCGCTGCTGATACCAGAATGCAGCGGTCCGCCCTCGATCACTGAATATTTAAAAACATCCAGTCCAAATGTTTAAGAACATTCAGTCCAGCTGACAAAGCAGTTATCAGACTTGTCGGCATCGACAGCTATCTGTAAAGTGGTTTTTTTCGCCGACAACATTGTCTGATTTAAATTGGTTTTTGTCACCGGCAATCCGAAATTCGACCCTATCCAAGAATGTCGGGAAGGCTTAAGTAATACAGTTACAACTACGAAATCTTACTCCCGGTTCCGAGCCAGGAAAAGCTTTCATATGGCGCAAGTGATTCCGAATTTACTACAACTAGTTCTGCTGCTGCAGTAAGCCGCAAAGCTGCAGCAATACGTGATGTTTTACCGAAAAATATTTAACCGGCGTTTTAACCGAAAGTGCACACGTCTTGCAAGAAACAAAATAATTAAGAGTGAATAAACAATAAGTATTTTAACTTACGTTGCGGTTTCCAGTACTCAGAATATTAAATTACGCGCAGTATATAAATTCAGATCATGTGCGCAGTAACCGGCTATGGTGTCACCGCGCTAAAAAGTTTAAAAACTCTGACGCGTCAAATACGTTATATCGAATTCAGCTATCTACCCGATCTTCAAACGTTGCTTCGAATGCGCGTGTGACACCGACAGAAAGGTTAAAGGCTGATGGTTAGAGGATCACATAAATCTTCTGCCAGAATCCGACAGACAGTTGATGATGCGTAAACCATTCTCAAAAAATGCGTTTGCCGACGCACCTTTCAAGTCTCAATTTTTTGACGAATTGTATCAACCTTTCTGCCGGACCAGTGGCGGCATTCTTTGATCTTTCAATGCAACCTCTACCGGCCATTGTGCTGTTTGCACGCTTGCAGTAGACTG